CCCCCCCCCTCTCCCCGCGATCGTTAGCCCTGTCGCCGGGAGTCCATCAATCGAAGGGAGGATGTCGGTTAATGATAGCGATCGTTCGTCATCGGGTGGATATTCACCTCCTTCTCCTCCTCCTCCCCACCACCTCTACCCTTCGCTAGCTCGTCGAATTTGAATCTGTAATAGAACTGGGAATTCTAACAAGGATTTCAACGCGAGGTGGTTCGTCGTTCTACTCTCTCGCGAGAGAGAGAGAGAGAGAGAAAGAGAAAAAGATTTTTATACGACAGCGTTTATCTTCCGAATAATTCCTTTAATAGCGAAGTAAAAACACTAGTCAACATATTTCGTATCGTAAATTGTATCCTTTCTGAATTGTAATTTTTTCTATTTGTATTTATGCGTCGAAACAAAAATTGACGGTAACAAAAATTATTTAGCTACAGTTCAAGAAATATAGACTATATTTTAATTTTTGTAAATTAATAGTGTAAAAGGTGTGAGAACAAAACAACAGGGCATATTTTCATTATAATTTGTTATTTTTATTATGTTATACTATCAGAGAAACTAAAATTTCTTTTAAATGTTATATTCTAGTGTCTCCGAATGGCCTCGAAATGTAGAATGTTGCGCGACGAAAGAATAGAAATGGCCTCTATCTTCCTACAGGAAATTAAAACACCTATTTCATTCATAAACTCTTACAGGTCTGCCATGCACACTATTTCCAAGTAAAAAATTAGCTTTGAGAGAGATTTTGAAGATATTTCCTTTCCTCCGCATCACGAGAGCCTCAAATATCAAATTCTCTTTTAATTTTTATTTACTATGCTGAAAATTACAGCTAATTTCTCATTTTAATCGTTATATTTATTGATCGCCACTAAGTTAACTAAAATCACCGATTTGGTCCGCGACGCGTTTCTTCTATTTGCCAGTGAAATAGCATCTCTCAACGCCGTTTAATTACTAACTTTTGCGATACGTTAACGAGATCTTCGTTTAATTCGAGAGACCTCGTTCACGCTTTAAAGACGTCGCGCGTAAATAGCGACGAGAGAAATTAGACGCTCGATTCCGATTTGAATACGTGATTTTCACGGAGCTAAAAATAACATGCGTCGCGTGATAAGCGTCGCTGACCCGTGGCGGCGGCGCCTCGATGCAAAACTAGACCCGCCGCGCTGATGATTTATCATTTATTTGTATGTGACCCGGTGAGAAAAGTGGGTCCGCCTGTGTGGCTGAGCAAACAGTGAATTACGAGTGGAAACTCCGGCGTGTTTAACCGCGCCGATGACGATCTCTTTCGAGGAAAGGCGTTGCGCACACACACACACCGCTCGATGTTACGATCGATGGTGGAGAGCTCGCGTTTCAATTTGCGCGCGGAAGAACCCAGTTCGCGTCGTACAATAGTAGACGTATCCGTGATAGATGATGCTTTTCACAATTTATCAAACGCGGACACATCTGATATTACACGCGCGCGCGCACACACACATACTTGATATACAATCGTATTACACGGAGCTAATTAGAAAAGTTTCGCTCGTCGTATCGGAGATGCTATTATTCTTATTAATAAATTGAGCGTTGTTATTGTTAAATTGATTAGTCATGTGCTTGTATTCGATCAATAAGAAAGTGACGCTGAATGAACACAACGAGCTCGATCTCGGAGATCGATATGCCTCTGGTCACGCAATTTACTTCTCTATGAGTACACACTTTCTTAACTACGTTTAACCGATTACATGAAGTTACATAAAATTTTTAAGTTCTAAGAAACTGTAAAAATAATCCGAAGTTTCTTCATAATTTATACATAATACAGTAAATATAGATAATTGAATATTATTAAGCGATAAAAAGGCTCCAATTGGATTCTAACCGAGGAAGACATTTATTAGTCACTAAGAACCAGCAGCAGGGATGACCCAGTGCCATTAGATTATATAATTAATACTAATATTAACGGAGAAAATTGTTAATCTGGGAACAAATATGATCGGTTTAGCGTGAAAAGGCTGAACCTCCGCGTACGATTACCGGATTATGTTCAGTACACGCGATTAAACATGTATCTTCCCACAAATAAGTTTAATATTAATTATATTAATAATCTAATGGCACCAGGACGGTCCGTGTTTTAGCTCTTACCGGTCCATAATAAATGGACGATTAAATAATCTAGAGCTAGGTGAATTTGCTGTCATTAAGATAGAGAAATATTTAATATACCGGTACAACGATAGGAGGAGGAGGAAGAATAAACGAATCATTAAAGCAGCCGTATATATTTTACGTTAAATATATTTTCATCGACCTCTCTCTTTATCACCGTTCTCTCTTTTCCAGAGCAAAAAATGCTACCGACATTATCGATTCGTTCAACGCGTGCCAGATTCGCACATTTGATCAGATGCGAAAGTAATTCGCGAGTTCTCGTTCGCCTCGATGTAATATTTACAAACGACGAGGTCAGCAATGTATATTCAGCGACACGTCGTTTGTTTCGCAGAGACGAGCGCGGCGCCGCCGCCCTCCATGTCGGATATCGACAGGCTCCAGCAGCCGGTCAAGCTGATCCTGCCCAGCACATGTCATCATGCTTACACGTCCTGCAAGTAAGTTCGCGAATTCCCGTCGCCGGTAATCGCCGGCCGATTATTCCGGATGAGATCCCGCAAAAATTACACGAGCCACGATTTCCCCTTTTGCACAGAAGCGATCCGGAATGCAAGAGCCTGCTGCAGCCGATCCTGAACCACTGCGACTCGGCGACGTGCGCGAGGAACGAGTGTATGGAAGCGTTGCAGCACTTCTACAGGACCGCCCCTCACAAGCATGCCGTGGAGATCGCGTTTTGCCTCTGCAGGTTGGTCAAAGCCGATCGGTATTCCGCGTCTCTTTAACTTCGTCGCGCCGAGTTTCGCCCCGAATTTACCGCTGCATGTTTGCGCGACCCTGCGTCTTCGTTAGCTCTACTTGCCTTTCCTTCTCTCTCTCGTACTATTATCTTTTTAACAGAACGGACTTATCGCCCGATAATTTTTTTTTTAACCAGACCAGCTCACCGCTACTAATCAATGCACAGTCTCTGTTCATATTATTAGATTACGCATCTTAATTTTTTACAATTCATTGACTTCCGACGACCTTTATAATACGGCTTATCTATCGATCGAATTATGTTAAGGAACCATTATTCTACGAAAGGTATTTTTTACGACGTCATTTCACTTGGCTGTTACAATAATGGACAGGTATGAAACTTTTTCGTTTTTTTTATCTTTTCTGTCTCATTACCATTTATGCTGTTGTAAACTAATTCGCGCACTTTCCTTGAGGAAACGATTGGCCGCGTGTTTCTCTCTTTTTTTTTTTTCACTAACAATATGTTTCTTCTCTAGCGAACATTTGTATATCGACACAATGACACCGAAACGACTAGTCTTTTCAGTCATGTTCCATTGATGTTAAATATTTAATTGGCCGTTTATTGTCGCGAGAAAGTCATATTAAAATATTAACGCAGGGCGGCCGCGCGAACGACTCGACACAATGCACGCTGCAACGTGAATTAATAATGGGTTATTGTAGCGGGACGGCGCACCTACACGCGGAACGACGGATCAACCGTCGGCGCCGTCGTAAATTAATTGGGAATTAATCGAAGGACGTGGCGCGTTATAAACTCGCGTTTTCAGGAGCGACGTGCGAAGAGGAGGAGGGTAGAAGGAGGTGGAGGAGGAGGAAAGCCGATGGAAATTACCGACGCCCGACGGAATGGCGCGGTGCCCGATTTTACGTTGCATCCGCTTTCCTTTTCCCTCGATATTCTCATTATTCGTTGATTGTTCCCCAAAATCTATCGCGCGCGAAATCGGCAAACTTTGTTGAACTTTTCAGAAAGTTTCTTTACACATTTTTTGTTTTAAGAATAACAATTGAAAAAAAATCGAAAAACGCATCTGGAAAATTTATAAATCTTCTAAAAGAACATTCGTTTCATTATTTCGGGTTCACAATGGGTGTAGGTGAGCCTTTAGTTTTTTGTTCCAAGCAACAAAATGTAATGTCTTTTTTGATGAAAGATGTTTTCCACACTGCCAAAAGTCGTAATAACGCTTAAAGTTGTAGAACAAAATGAATTTTTTAAGAATCCTTTAAAACTTGCACTATATATAAATTAAAAAATGGCCTGATTATTGGAGTAAATAGAAAACTGTTGACCATTCGGAAACTGTGATATTCGCAATCAAGTTTTTTTTTAGAGATTAATGTCCTATAGATTTTTAATTTTTATTTTTAAATTCTTCTAAACCATATTTAGGATTTCACAATAAAAACTATTATATATAACTATTATAATTATTATATACAAAGCATTAATAAGAAAAATAAATAATATCTCCGTGTTTGAAATATTGTGTGTATATTTCTCTTAACTTCGCTAAAAATTAACATTTATTACTCACATAAAGTCATGAGAAAATATTTTTTTCAATAAACAGTAAACTTGTTCAGGAGCCTCTTAATATACTGAAAATTCAGCACCCTATGATACAACTACCTTAAATCTGGGGAATCGCGTATTCTGGGGACGCTTTTTGCAGAAATTACGTTATAACTTGGTGCTTAGAAAAAAAGGCTGAAAGCTTACCACACCTGTCGTATTCTCGAAATTTCCTGGAGTGAAATTTCATTCGAAAAGCCAAGTTACTCGGACTCGAGTGACTTTTCGCTTCTACAGAATAAATTCGCCAGTCTGAGTCGTCGAGTGAACATTTCATTCAGAACTGTTCCTAAATGTATTCTACTGTCAATACATCAGGTCAACAAATCCACTTTAATCGAAACATTCATTTCATATGGAGTCAGAATCCGTTCTAAGCTTGAATGAAACATTCACTCTTCGAAAGCTTCGGGTGGCCTGTATTTCCACCATCGCTTTGAGTGAAAATACTACCGCTTTTCATTTGTTTCGAGTGAGACTCCGCTCCGGGAGATTTAGAGAGTAAATCCGGCCTTAAGAGTAAAAACGCTTCTTTTTCCTCTATTTTATGCGTTACACCGCTATATGCCATTTTTTCGATTATCTTCCCACGTTGTCACGTTGTGCATCTCGTGCAAAGACTTTTCTCTTGTTCGCGGCTCCCAGCAACGTTTTTTTCCCACCGGGATTTGAGTCTGCTGCCATTAGCGACTCCGCCACGTTCTAATTCTCTCTAACGAGAGCACGTTATGAGGGGAGCGGGAATCGCGAAAATCCGCCTCGAAATTCGGCGTATCGGGCCGATCGAATCTCCGGAAACTTCGGACGCTGCGCGAAACAATGCGACGCGGCTGGGATGCGGCATATGCTGAGCAGCGCGCGTTGTTGCAACCGGCGCATTGCATCCGGCTACGCGCGCGCGCGCGCACGGCCGACCGACCTACAAACCAACCAACCGACATACCGAAAAAGAAAATGCGATACGTTTAACTGACAGGAATGCCAGATCATGATGTCCGATGTGTATGATGCATTCAATCGGGCTGAAACGGGGAATAATAATAAGGAAGGAGGCGGTATTACGCTGAGAAAAAGATTTGTTGAAATTCAATGAATTTTATCCTGCATCCGAACAAATCTCATCATTGGCATGCTCCAAGGAAACGAATGTTTCGATTAATAAGTACGATTGCTAGACTTTTCAACGGATATGTATCTTTATCTTAAATAAAAGATTCGTTTGAAACGAAAGATAATTTTCTTATAGAGAAGTTAATTCTTTCATATTGCATATTTATTGTGACCGAATGTTTTGTTTGGTTAAAAGATATTATTTCAAGTAATAGCGTTCTTTCTGTTAAATAATCGAGTTTTCTTGAACGAGACAATAAAAGTTGTACTTATATAAATAATATTTCGTATATGTTGTTTCTATGAAACAAATTTTAGTCAAATAAATAGAAATACTAGATCTGAAGAAACCTTTTTCTCTGTGTACAGGAACGAATAAGGCCGTGAAAAACGAAGAGGGAGGGGGGNAAGAGAAATGAAATCGATAACACGTGTGCGGTTAGATGTATTTTGAATAAATCATGCGATGAATTACAAAAAGTAGTGGAACTCGTCGAGGTAGGCGATGACAGGTCGCAATCTTTCGCCCGCGTCTCGATATTTTATTACGGGAACGTGTCTTTGATATTATTTTCTCTTGTCTCTTTTTATCGTCGGCGAAGAAAAAACTTTCCCCGCGGGCGGCATTTTGCGTTTTACTGACGGAATTTTTAACGCGATTGAAAGCAGAGAGACATCGTCAGGCAGGTCAAACGTGCATCTCAATCGCTCGTATAAATAACTGAGCGAGCTCAGTCCCGTCGCGTCTTATATGTCAATGTATTTTTAAAGCGCTTGCGGCGAAATTCCGTCACGGAGTTGGCGCTGGATTATTTTCCAGGGTGTAATTAATGCGAAGGAGAATTATGAAATGACGAGTACACGTGTGTGCGACACGACGGAGTTAATTTAATGAGCGTGCATGCGATTTTATGAAGGAATATGCGCGACGGCTTTCTACGACGTGCGATTCCACGTCGAGACAGAATTAATCCCGAAAGAGTAATTTTATAAAGGGCGGATCAGTATTATTATATTAATTATAATACAGAGGAATCCTCGTGGCCGCGAAATTACGTTCTTCTTAGGAATTAAGCGACGTTACGATTTTTTCCGGCCGAAGCTAAGTCGCGGAAATTTGCTCTATCTCTACGGTGATTACAGATTCCCTTGCGAAGATAATTTATATAATCTGTCGACGGTGCACNGGGGGGGGGGGGGGTAAGAATTGAAATCAGGCCGAAAGTCGATTATAATCCGCGAGATCCTCGGAAGAGCGAGGCGAGTCTAACTTGGAGATTCCGCGATGACGACTTCGACGGAATCCTCGAGACGGCCCTAATATCTCGCGTGGGAAGGTGACTCCGTAGGAGGCTCGTCCTTTTTAACGAGGCTCCTTTAACTTTTAAGTGGCTTTCGGCCGCGAAACAATGCGGAAACTTCGCGCTTTCACCGTGGCGTCTTACTTTTATCCTGCCGGATTCTCTCGTGGCGGCTTCGTTTTTTCCCTCGAATCGTCGTCCCTTTTGTTCAAACGTCCGTCTCGAAATAAAAACCGAATGAACGAACGACGGGGGATGCAAAACCGTGACTGAATAAAGTGCGCGCCCCCGTAAAGTCTATTTCGCCGAGCGAGCCGACAATTATCGCATCGATATTATTATTTCGCCCGACTGGAGGTGTTTCGTCGCTTTTCACCGACTCGGTCCCGATCGCGTCGCGTTTTCGCACGACGAGCGGAAGCTCGATCAAAGAGAGGCTCTCTCCGAGCGAAGGGAGTCTCGCTGTGTTATTATAAAATATCGCTATGGAATGTTCGGCCGTACGTTTTTTCAGCGTTACAGCGTGACGAGACCGTGTATAACGTAAGTCTGTGTTTCTCGTGTCGCAGGAAAACGGATGGCAAAAAGGACGAGTGTATAGTGGCGCAGGAGAAAATGCATCCGGCGTGCGCGCAGCGCGTCGACGGCGCCGAAATGCCGACGTGTCACAGCCTGGCCGAGACCTGCAAAGAGAACAAGGACTGCAGGTGAGAGGAAGAGGTGCATTGCGAAAATTCGCGTTTTCGAAAATTTACACGTCTCTCCATGAATTATCCGCGCACGCGCGCAAACACAAGTGTGCCGCGGTTGGTGCGCGCGAGAGGAAGCCGGTATCCAGGGACGATACGACGTGGGAAAGGGCGGCCGATAAAACCGAACTATCGGCGGGGTATTATCGATAGATATCGAAAACGAAGCTGAGAAGATCGACGATCATTCTCTCCGAACCGTCCATTTCTTTCTCCTCTTCCTTTTTTCTTCTCTTCTCTCTCTCTCTCTTTTTTTTCCGTTGGCTCCGCTATTGAGAAGATTAAGAGCTCACGGCAAATTTTAAGGGGATTCCCTCGTACGTACGTGTCGGTTCTTCCTTGAAACAAAAGTTTCATCGGATCAACGAAATAACGCGAGAAACCCACGCGCGAGATGAAACGGTTTGCTCGGCTGCTCTCGCAAGCGGATTCCCCGGGAAAAAAAAGGAACCGACAGCCGTGTACATAGCGCGTACGCGAAGACCGGAAAAGTGAAGAACGCGTCGTTTCGTTCTCATGGTCTCGCGAGCGGCTCCTCATGGTTCTCCTGCGAGAGAGGACGAACGAATGGGTCCTCGCCCGGCTAAGGAAATATTGCATTAGCGCGCGGATAAATCTTGTTGAATCGCGATTTAACTTTAAAATTGAAAAAGTTCCAACGCGGGACCGCGGGAGAGAGAGAGAGAGAGCGAGAAAAAAACAACAAGGGACACACCGACGTGTTTGCGGTGTTTAATCGGCCTGCTTCGTCGGGTTTACACGGCGAGATAAGATCGCGTCGTCCCCTAATTGGACATTACTATTTTACGTGTCGATTCCGCCCGTCCTCCGGCGATCCTCCCGCAGACGATTTCCGCGACGGGAATTTCGCGCGGGCGGCCGCGAGAGGGAGATTTTTATCTCTCGGCGGCGAGTTATTCATTCCTTAAAGTGCGCGGCTCTCCTCACGGAGGACGACGGTATCTTCGTGATTTAGCGGCTGGTGTGCTGAATATCTCGCGCGCGCGCGCGCGTGTGAAAATTCCAGCGGCGCGTACGTCTCGCGCGATGCCGCGAATAGATTCCGCGTGAACAGTGGGGATGTTGAACGACGGGACGGAAGCGGCGATCGCACGTATTTGACGTTTGCAGTCCGGATAATAACGACCGCTTCGATTCCGCATTTTGCGGAATAGTTGGAGGAGTGTCACCGCTTTTAGCCGTTCGAGGAAGATCGTTGAAGTTACAACCGGTTTCCTCCGGGGTCACTCGTAATGGTGAAATATTTAAGTTCTCTCGATGGTTGCGAGAGTTGCATCGATGTCGATTAACGTTAGCCTTCGTTAATTGAATTTACGCTCTCTCTCTCTCTCTCTCTCTCTCTTCCTCTCCCTCTCCCTTCCTTTCTCCCTGTATCTATCCGTCTATATTACAGTGAAGACTGTAATTCTGAGAGAAAGAGAAAGAGAGGGAGGGAGTAAGGCGGGGTGAGGTAAGAGGAGGAGAGGAGACAGAGAAAGAGAAATGGCGAATCAGATCTAGCCGGAATTAGTTAACTGAAACTGTCGGTGCGATTCAATTCTGGCGAATTTCCTCGGCGAGTCAGCGATAGATTATTGATGGCTGTCTAATGTCCGATCGATCCGCTACTCGTGGCAACAGACATGACACTCGAGACAGCGTGAATCATCCCATGAATCCGTCTTACGAATTAAGGAAACTTAGAGTCGGTTTTATTCACGAACTGAGATCTTCAAGGTGGTGACTCTTCTTCGCGTTCTCGTCGTACATTGACATTTCCCGCTCTTATATTACGTAGATATACGATGGAAATAATCCCTGCGTATGTTTAGAATAAATTTACACGTGGGAACGAAGACTCTGATATTAAAGTGCTTTTGCAAAAAAATATCCTTCTTTCGCACAAGAACGGTAACGTTGATTCAGCTTCACGTTACGTTGGTGTTACTTAAATAACTTTCATCTCGCGTATCGATGTCCATAAATTGACATTTTCTGCACGTCGACAAATAACATTAAACGTTTTGCACCGTCACATATATATATATGTATATATAGAAAAAATATATATATATAGAAAAAAAATGTAAATATTTCTTTTTCATGGAAATCTGATAATTCGCAGTTCGTTGAGCACACTGCTTAAATTGTCACGACGTACTAGTATATCAATTAATTTACTGTTACTCACGCAGGTTACAAAGGCTTATATTCGATAAGGCAAAATATTCGATAAATCTATCAATCAGGAATTTTTGTCGATCGAATAGAATTTCTTAAAATATTCGATAAATCTATCAATTAGGAATTTTTGTCAATCGAATAGAATCTCTCTACGAGTTATAAAGCGCTGCTAATTGAGCACAAATCATAATATTTAATCTGTGTGAAGCTCTCTATAGCATATATATATAATATATCCAGATTGTAAGAGAGGATATCTTGCAATTTTTAAGTTTGCTTTTAGACGTGTGAAAAATTTTTGTCAGGACAATTAGCAGAATTTTCCCGCAATTATTGTATTTACACACATTTTGCATAATTTTTACGAATTGTCGCGTACGTCACGAGTCGATACACGCTATTAAATCAAAACACTCGTAGTTGTTCCACTTAAAGAGAGCGAGACGTAGAAAATCATCGATCCCGACGGAACAGCAAATTATCAGTCGTCAACGGCAAAAATATCAGACGCAACGCTGTTACATTGGATAAAGTAAAATACACTCCGAGCGCTTATAAATGCGTTAAAAAAAAAAACACAGTGCGGGTAACGGAGCGGATTAAAATGGACGAAGAAGAGGCGCGATCGCGCGGCGGATCGCGTGTGCACTTGCGGATCGATTAAATTAAAACACGCGCCCCACGCACTCGCGCGCTCACGGATGCATGCGCACAACCCGATTCGGCGTTTTAATTGATTTATCGCCGAGGGCGAACGAATCCGTTTTTAATTTTGCCATTTAGAGATATCCACGGGCGCGCGCGACAGGAAAACGAGCGATTGCTCCGATGCAATCGATGCGCGCGCTTCGCGCCTTGACGCGTCCTCGCGCTTCAAGGTGTATCTCGACACGGGTTTTATTTCACTGCCTTCCACATCGATTTCAATCCTCGCACCTTTTATTTCTCAATATAAATCTCCCCATTGCGTGCAAATCAATAAGCAAATAATAATACCTTTTTTCCTTTTCAAATTACACACGGTGAGTATAAAATTTTCTCATCTACGCGCGATTGTTTCGGAACACAACGTGCACATTTAATCTCGCAGCATTACCACTTCTTTGATGCAAGCTTTGTTAAAGAATACTGACACACACTGACTTACTTTAACGCTTCCGGGCGCTAATCTAACCGCTGATTTAACCGTCCTATCGTTACGTTGTTTTTAACTGCACGTGGAAGTGCACGCACGCTTTAGTTGTATTAAGAAGGAAAAGAAGAGAAACAAACGCGCGAGCTAACTCCTTCCCGGTAATTAGCAGTCATTTATAGTTTGAAATTAAATCTTCGATTGCGATTGACTGTTTCTGTTGTGACGATAATAAAAAAACTCTCTTTGGACACCACAAATATCGAATCAACGGTCTGTTCGTTAACGTTCATTTAAAGCCAGTTATTCGACAACTCCTGACGTGGCATTCTGTTCTCGAACTTTTATTCGATCCCCCTGCCGTGCTCGCACAATCGATACCGGATTTAATACTATGATGTTGTTAGCGGAATGAGAGAAAATAAGATTCTTTTGTCTCAAACGAGACCGACGAGTCTCTAAATAAAGAGCCATCGTTTCGGGACAGATGTTGAACGTTCCATTTGATTTCGCGGGGTAAAATTAAGCCACTTGTGCGAGACGCGCTTCTATCTCTTAATTTCCATAATCGAGAATCTTACTCGACCCATATATATACTTACATATACACATATGTATAGCATTGCACTCCACAATTTTCGATATATATATATCATTGCGCTCCACAATTTTCGGAAAACTAAACATAGATCTGTACGCAGATCGAACGAGGAGAGCTTTTGCAGCGTGCGAATAATTCGTCGGAAAAATATCCAGTCGGTATTTCACGCATCATTATGCGCGCTCCAACACTTTCGATGATCATTACGCGAATCATTGTTGTAATTAAAAATCGCATGACTCGGACGAAACGCTCCTACGGGAACAAAGCTCGCGTTACAGCGCAGGTATATACGCATTGATTATGGGCGTGTATCAATTGTCGCACCAGCGGTCCCTTTGGTCATCGGGAGAGTACACCCAGCGATTGCCCATTGTTACTGCATTAGTCCCCTCGGTCATCCAGTATGTCACCGTTGACACCGCACGGATACGCCCGACGATTGTTCGGAGGTATCACTTTAGCAATTCGCAGTGCGCGTCGGAGCTGCTTCGTCGATGCATTCTTTCCCCTCTCCCTCGACAAATCGAACTATTCGTACTCGCGTTCTGAAATCGGTCAATTAATCGATATTACTCTCGAATCATTATTACCGTCTTGAATATCTTCGAGGCAAGAAAACAATAAAAACGATCTTGAGATCTTTGAGGCTGAAAGTCATCTTCGTTTTTTGCCTCGAAGATATTCAAAGTGGCAATAATTACTGCTTCATCCTGTACATTTTTTCACACTTTTAAATAATAATTATTATGACTACAACGTATCCTTCTCTTCGACCCTTTTCTCATCGCTTGTCACTGCAATTCTAAAAAGGGAAACAGAACTTGACATCGTGTGTCCTAAATCATTTATCTTAAATTTATATGAATTTATATTAAATATCTTCAACTTGCGAGGACGCTAAAAGATCGATGAAAGATATCTTTCTTCGAGGCTCATGCGCGCGACTGAGAGAATCGGAAGAGGAAAAACTCGCGAGGGCAGAAGTTGGTCCTCGCTATTCTCGCAACGCGACCGCTTCGCCGACTATTGCGCATTGTTAACATAGCGAGAGCGGGCGATTAATATCCCGAGTGTTTGCGACTTTTCCTCAGGCAGAGGCTGGAATCCTACGAGCAGAGCTGCGCGGTCGACAGCGTGACGAAGAAGTGCGCCGGGCAGACCTCGGAATGCAGGAAAGCGATGCTGGGCATCCTCGGCACCGAGCTTCGCACCAATTGCGCCTGCAAGGGCACCGAGCTCACCCAGCTTTACGACTGTCTGGGCTGGCAGCGGCTCCTCTGGGTGAATCCCTGCGTGGGTAAGCGAAAAATCTCCTGGCTCTCGACTCACCGCTCGCCGGCGAGCCCGAAAATTCGTTCCCACCCCGCAATCGGGATTAATCCCTTGCTTCGGCACTGTAATTGGGAAACTCGTAGACCATATGCGTCTGTTTAAATCTTTCATTACTGTGAGTTTATACACCTCCGAGAGAAATTCACTATCACCGAGTCTTTGTTCTACTGGAAAATATTATTTTGTGCAAACAAATTCGTTTACCTTGCGCAATAAGTCGCTACTAAAAACTGAAATATTCTGAATCATTGAAAAATATATTCCACATGTTCGAATATACAAGTGTTTAGTTGACACTTGGACAGAATGAAAGTATATGTTGTGAATCAAGCCTCACGTGGAATTTTTTTAAGTTTCTTTATTATAAAATAATAATATGGTAATTATTTATTATATATAATATATTATGTGTAATATTATATAATATATAATAATAATTATCGCGCTTTCTCCATATCTCATGTTATATCAAGGTCTCTCCGTTGGAAGTAAGAGTTCGAAATTATAAGACTTTCGTTGTTCGCATTGTTGTATTGTGAAATTGATTTGTCTCTGGAATTTTCATACAAACACCTCGGACTATCTCGGAGTAAATAGTAGAGTCCATATTAAACAATATCCCTTTCTCTCCCTTTCTTTCTCTTTCACTAAGTAACTCCCCCTAAGTTCACGAAAACTCGACTTTTCTATGGAGAAAATTTCAACTTGAGCTAAATCTGGTAAGAAAGTTGTTTAATATCGAATATTAAAAAGACACATTTAACTTTGCGTAAGAGAAAGGGAGAAAGAGAGAGAGAGAAAGAGAGAGGAGGGGAGGGAGTGGAGGGAAAGAACTAATTAAGTAACAAAACTTTACTTTCCTAGCTAATATTTCCTTAACTTCGTTTTAAAATGAATTTAATTCAGCTGCTAATTCGCCGAGATATTTAACATTGACAGCTCGAAAAGTTACGATGAAATTCGCGCGAGTGCACCGGAAAATTTATCGCCGTTAATTTCCACCTTGTCGGATAGCCCTCGGTCTCCCTCTCTTTCTCTCTTTTTCTCTTTTTCTCGGCGTATACGTATAAACGTCGCGGCGCATAAGCAGCGCGTAATAGACAGAAGCGCACGAAGCATTGCCGCCGATGCGCCCGGCGTGATGCACTTCTGGAACGTAGTGGGAGATGCAATTTCTTCGTATCTAAATGACTTATCTACCAGCTGAATGCAGCATGCCCGCCTACATTCGTCGTGCTTTACAACTCGGCGGGGTCGAGAGGGATCGATAAGGGCCATCCTGTGTCGTTTGTTCGACCGGTGTAATTGCAATTCTGTACGTGCGGCATCGCGATGCAACCTCGTGGATCGTCATAGGTCGTTATAGATCACCACCTTTGCAGTTTCCCTGACGCCGTTTTTGTTCGAGTTATTTTTCCAATACGAGGACGGGTGACCCTTTTCATTAGAGCATTTCTCACAAGGACGCGTTTTAAAAATTGAAAAAATTATTTTATTTTCGCAATTTAACTCTTCCTTTCTCTCTCTTCCTCACATAGAGAATACTATTTTTTTTAGAATAAATACAGTGTGCACCATGCTAGTGATTCTAGTGAATGTCGAAATGTACAATTCATTTCGAAATTACTTTCGCATGTATCTTTCACGATGCGCGATATATAAAAAATAGAAATATTAGCAAACGATCATAATAACAATAATAAATAATAGAGTTGCCGCAATCCCGGCTCGAAGCGGTGTAAATTATTGGGAGATGCTAAGTTATTTGATAATAACATTAAAATGAGGCTTCGACCATTTATACGATTTAATTATAATTGCCGCAATTCTCCGCTGTTTATTGTTGACGCGTGACAAATTACACTCGTCCCGCAAACACGAGGATGGTAATTTTAATAAATTAGGGGGTCGCGCAGGAAGCTAAATGGAGAGGAGAATTATAATATAATGCGGGGAATTTGCCGGCGATTAGCCAGCCTTTTGAATCGAGTCGGTCGTTCTAGAAGTACAATGCAAAGGCGTCTCGCCGCCCGGGCAATTTATTTATTTAGCTCGACGCGAATATTACAGAAGCGCTCCGTGAACTTTCAGTTAAATTACACACGGTCGCCGCGGAGACATAATTCCTCCGTGTCGCGCGGATTTTTCAAACATGCGTGTCGTCTCATCTCCGTCGGGAACGAACCAGCGAAACGCGAGCGCGTTCTCCCGTACCCACGATGATCCCGACGTAACGAATAATCACGACAACAGCCGTTCAATCCTGCACGACCATATGTCGGACGTGTCGAGCAGAGCGCTCGAAAATACGGGAGAGGATCCATCAAAACCAACGTCTTCGCGAATTTTCATCGTCGATTTTCCCCGGCGTAATCTACTTCTTTGAAAAGGGTGAGCGGAAGGAAAGAAAGAGAGAGAGAGAGAGAGAGATTAAAATCCGGGTCACCGCCGTTGCAATTTCGTCGCTGTCTTATCCCGTGCAAATGTTGATAAGTATGATCTATATCTCGCGGAGGAAAAAAAATAAAAAGCGTTGCAGCTCGTCGCTGCAGCTCGTAAAATATTATCACGCGCATCTTACGTTCCCTATTATTGCTGTACGCGTCCCGCGAGAGGACGAGGCGCACGGTGCCCCTTGAAAGTGTAATCACCCCGGAGCCCCCCGGTAGCTGAAATATTTCGCAGCAGCTGCGCCGCCGGCGATACGGGACCGGGCGACTTTCCCGATACTTTCATACTTTCCCGTCGGATGGCTACACGTGTACATTCAACTGCAATTTTACAGGCTCTCCGTTCGGCACTTTATATTGCTTAGCGGTTGTTATTTGCGGCTACACGTCCGTTTCCCGGTCGCGCGAGAGACTGCAAGAGAGAAAGAGAGGGGGAGGGGGGGAGGTGGCTGGATGGAAAAGAAAGAGAGAGAGAGAGAGACTGAAAGAGTATTAAGTTGAAGTTACTCCGAGGCGGCGACGATGCCGATTCGAGTCGGTAGTTTTTCGTGCTTATTATTGTGTCGTGAAACGCTATAAGTTATGACAGAAAAGTGGAGAGAGGAACTTCTCGGTGTCCGAGCACATCGTAAGGTATAGAGTATCGTAAGTAACTTCGTGCAAACGTAATATCGCGAAATGATAACTGTCGCAAAATGGAAAAGAGCGCGCGTTTCAAGAATAGGGAAACGTCTCTCTAACCGGGTGTGGTGTGACTTAGAAATAATTCCTCTTGAAGATCGCATCGTGAGGTACGTGAAAAATGCTCTGTTATTTTTATTTCTTTTCTTTCCTCCATCATACTCTGCTCGGAATCGAGTATCCGAGTGACAGAGAAAGAGAGAGAAACAAGAAAGGAAGGAGAACTACGGTCGATTTTGATTCGAACACACACACACACACACACACGCGCGGGTAGAGAGCGCGTAGCATTTTCCGTTAAAGTTAACGCGAAATTCCTCGCTCATTTCCACTTCGATGATACGTTTCGATACGGGACGTCGTCGATGATTACAGTGGAGTCGCAGAAGGACTATCACGCGCGCCGGAAGCACCATCATCCGCGCACGACGACGACGACGACAACGACAACGGCCGTCGCGTCGGCGACGAGGTCACCGGCGAGCACGACGGCGACCACCGTGGTCGAACAAGTGGAAGATAATCAAATACCGGAAGTGACGAGGTGGCCGACCACCGAACCCACGGAAACTTGGGAAATCACGACCACCACTATAAGCACCACTCCGAGCACCACCACGACCACCACTATGCCGCCACGTGAGTCCGAACGTGTTTAATGATTATTAATTTCCCGCCTGATGATCGTTAGTCCGTTCTTACACCGCAACACCGGTTTATACCGGCTGTTTCAACGTCGCTCGTCCCAATTTCGCTTGTCCGTCCATTGAACGGACCTAACATCGACCTTCGGGATTATGAAAAATTCCGGCCGCCGATATGCTGCAAAGAGCTTTCTGTTAAATTTAACATATTAGGTGTACCCAGAGAAGTTTTTGCCGTTCGTATTAAAAAGAAATGAAAGAAACATATTTTTGTTTTCAAATTAATTTTATCCGTCAAAGCGTGAACCTTGGGATTATATTTTATCGTATCTTATAGTTCGGACTTCAATTCAAATCGGCAAAAACTCTTCTGGTCACCTGATATTTCACACGTCCCAAATGGTCCGCTCAAGTCCTTCTGTTAATTTATCACGAAGTGAATATTGTTGAAAAGTATCAAAAGTGACAAATATTATGTAAAAATTTAATACGTTAATCGATAATGAAGTATAAGATGCGTTATTTTCACACGTTGAACATCGATACGACACAAAGGGATTGAGATAACTTAAACGTAATACGTTAAATTAACATACGGGTATATTAAGAATTCAACACGAAAATTTTAACAAGGATCAACTTTAGTACTCGAGTACAAAATGTTTTTACATGGGTGAAGGGCGGTGAAATAAAATTTCAGAATTCTACGCGCAACAAGGATTCGTTTTTCGTGAGTTCTCGAGAACAGATTGACGAAGTGTCCAACGCGGTAAATTGAAGTCGGTGAGACACGTCCTGCCCGAGTTCACCGCGATGCCCCGTTAGCTGTTGCCTGCTGTTGGGGTTTTGCAGTGTTTCCCTAATGCCGATGAAGTTTCCCCGAAGCTCTTTGATGCGTTAATTATTACTTTACTTATATGTCTTCTCGCGTAGCTTAACCCACCTCCGAAGTCAACGCACAGAACGTCTCCCTTCCGCGACTAAGGGGTTTTCCGCGCCGCGTGGCGGAAGCCCTTCGCGGAAAGGAGAATTTTTAATCTCTTTCGTCTGCGCGGCATCGAGAGAGGCAAATTAGGTAGATCGCCTGCGGGGGTGAGATACGGGGTGGAAGAGGGGGGCTGATAAAGGGCCGTGGAAACAATCTGGCGGGAAAGGCAGCCTCTCACGTCACTCTCTTTGCAGGCTTCTGCGTGGTTCAAAAGCCGAGGCAGAGTCACCAATACATAAGAGAGGGCAAGGCCAAAAGGGTGAGTCGCTCTCGCAATCTCCCAAGTCTCCCTCTCGCGCGATCGTCGTCGCGACGCAAAGCGCCCGCCGCCGTCGCGTCGCGCCACGCCGTCGAGAGCCGGCGGAGCTCGCGAGACAGAAAGGAAGGGTTTTGCGGGCGTCGCACGAAAGGGTGGGCGCGAGGCTGCCGGCGGAAAACGGATATTTGCTGCACACTAGCGGATTTTACCATAAAGGGGGCGGATCGATCTGCGATTTCTTCTCGGATGTGTTGGCGTGTCGTGACGCTCTGTCTCTTTTTCTCCGTTAACCCCCTCCTCGTCGTCATCGACGACGACGAGGAGAGGTTTCTTCAGCTTTACAAGCAGCCCGAGGGAGAAACTTTTACCAATGAGAAAAATGATATCGTGCTGTGTTTGTGTGCCTCGCTACGATTAATTTCTCACCGGAATATCGACAATCGTGAATTTCATCGACGGGGCGGGGGATTGCGCGAAGCCTGTTGTTGCGGCACACACAGAGCGCGTAAATCTTCCAATTTGCAAATGGTTGGGATTACGCATCATTTAACTAAGCACGTACATTAGTTATATCAAATTTATTAATATTTCCATTAATATCGAATTTAACCAGAATAATTGGAATATTAAATATGTTGACCATTCTAACTAAACTTGATGTTATTCGGTTGGAATAAAAAATAATGAGGATAAAGAGAATCACGGTCGACTTTTTCACCAAAAAATTACCGTGATTACAGTGATTACAGTGATCGCTTCACCAAGCGATGCATAACCTCGTCCGATCCTACGGCGTTCGATTGGACGTTACACGCGAATCCGGAAAGCTCTGCCTATGAACAACGGATTCTAAATACACTCCTTGTACTGTAATCGAGAATTTATAACGATTTACGAATATTTAGATCCGACGGATCTTTTAATACTTAATATTTCACAGAACGTCGCGATTTTTGCACCCGACGCGAGAAAGTGTCCAAGTGTGAAGAAATTATTTCGCGAATAATAAACACACACAGGGATCATTTTCTACTTTCGTTCGAAAATAATTCATACAAACCACGGCGATCTTTTGTGGCGGGCGCTTGCTGAAATTCACAGCGACACGTGCCGAAGGTGTTCAATACGACGTGTGTGTTGCATTTGCACAGCTCTATCGTGAGGACGAGCCTGAGTGTTCAGAGCTCTGCCAATGCGAAGAGCCGTTAACGCTCATCTGTCACACCATCTGCGTCGATTTGTCGCCGTGCAAGACGGACTTCGCCTTCTACAACCACGAGGCGCCGGCCTATCAAGCGCATCGTGGTCCTTGCCTCTGCTACAGCGGCGGCTTTATATGCATGCGGCCTGCGCCCGGTGAGCGAGATTATCCTTTTCATAATTGTGTTATCGGTCCAACGACAGAGAAGAAGAGGTTGATCTCTTACCCTTGCTAGAATTCTACGAATTCTGCAAACACCTGTACGAAAAAAAAGAATTACAAGAATATGAAAAAATGACTGTTATATTATTGAAGAACTATTGTGCCTCAATGGTATACCAGTAATTTTTCCAGAATAATCGTGACATCGAATCTTTCCGTATACATTTTTCTCTGTATTTCTTGCATTTCGTATCGATTCTTTAGAATTAATCTTTCTTTTTTATCCGTAAACATTATTTAACTGTTTCATCTTTAAAAGAATGCCTAATTAAGAGGAACGAAGGGGAATTTCCCTTCGAAACTCGAGATGCGCGCGACGAATCTCGCGGTAAGCGAGCCGCGCTCTCACCGTCGTCACACGACACACCGGGACTCTCTCATTTGCGCAGATACATACAATATACCGCACGGAGTCTTCATGTTCCTGGGCTACAGCGAGAAGGACGAGATCTTACTGAAGCAGCACAACAACCTGACCGTGATGGACGCGGTGTCGTCTCTCGACAATTTCATGAAACAGGAAGTCAATAATCAGGTGAGAGGCGCTCCCACGCCGTTATCCTCATCAGCCATTAATACTGGCTGAGTAACGCCTTCGAAATGGTCGTTCCTCGAGCGACCACGTGCCGGACGTGTCAGTAGGCGCCGTCGGATCGCCGGAGAAGTCCCTCCGAATTCAGAATTCAGGACTATTTCGGAAAGCCCCGTTCCCGCACTCGTCGATCGTCGGGGAAGTGACTGAAGTCACGATTATTCCGGAATTTATTACACCCCGCTACTCGCGCGCGCGTTCGTTCGCTTGTTCACCCGTTCGTTCGTTCGTTACGGACGGGAGAGCGTCCCGGGAAATTCCCAGAATGCAATTAATGCGCAGCGTCTCGGGCGCGGCGATCGGCGCGCGCGAGCTCCCGATAATGAGAAACGTCAATGAGAGAAACGTAATGGCTCGTCAAACCGCGCCCCCGATTAAAAAGTAAATCGCGGAATTTAATAACGCCGGCCGATGCGGCGACGAGTGACGCGTCCGCCGACGTGCTCTACCTATCTATTTCTCTCTCTCTCTCTCTCCCCCCCCCCNCCCCCCCCCCCTTCCTCTTTCTCTCAGTCTCTATCTACGTATCTGACCGCGCCAACCTTCGTCTTCTTCCATTTGCAGACAGTATGCACGCTCTTCCTGTACAACGCGACTCGAGAAAACGTTATTGCAGTGGCGCGACTCGGGAGCGACAATCCACCTTTAAACAGCAGCCAGGCGCAGAGTCTGCAGCACCTGCTGCGCGTCAAGGTAAGCGAATCTCGGACGGACAAGCTTTTCGGGCAAGCGGGGGAAATTGAAGATCCCCAGATGCGGGGGCTGGACAGAAGTCCGGCGAATGTGCTTTCACCGAGGAGGGAGGGGGCGACCGCGGAATTCGCGTACACGACGCTCTCGATCGCGCTCGAATGAAGGAAATAACACGCTCTTATTGCTCGGTCTCGATCATTTCCCTCGGAGGAAGAAGATCCGCTGCGAGCGACGTTCGTGAGAGAGATTTATCCTGCGGGATCCGTCCCGACGACGACGAAGGGCGCGTCGAACGTTCCGGACGTGACGCTCTCTCTTCCTTCGATTCTTCACCCGGCGACGTTTCGTGCGCGTTACAATTGAAGCCCGCTTCACTCCCCGGATCTCGATGGTGGTTTTGATCGAGTCGCGGGATAAAAGCCGCGAAGGAGGTTCACTCGGCTGGCGGAAGTAACGACCGTCGGCTTCGAGAAAAGCTGATCGCGTGAACGACGGCGATATTCGATGGGAACGCGCGTGCGTGCGTGCGTGCGTGCGCCCGACAGGAAGCCGGAGGAGGCCGATAACCGGGGGTCCTCGCGAAAGTTTTAATTTCCCCGGGAATCTCGGCGTCGCTCCGGCGGCACTATCGGCGATTAATCTGCTCGTTCCTTGCCGAATTTCACCCTTCACGCCGCGCAATAGATCTCCGCACGGATCGCCGATCGATCCCGCGCGGGTTATGCGCCGACCTCACGCGTGTCCCGGACGCATAATGCGCTCGCTTAAAATGCACGCGCCCGGGTGATTAAAACTCGGTGATTCATGGGGTTGCGTACGTACACCACCGGTGTCGCGATCTAAGTATACACCCGGTATTTCATCGCTCGGCCGAATTTATCGCGCGTTTTAGAATAATGAGTGGTTAGAGTTCGATGTAATGAGATACGAGAATACGAGACGGGGAGGGAGGGGGAATTGCGCCCAGTCGTCAAGGTTGATTGAGATGAAAATAAATCGAAGATTGCTCCGTAATGGAAGGGAATCTCGCAGGGATGAGGAATTTTAGGTCCGTCGAATGTAAGATACTTCAGAGGTACACACAAATTTGCGTGTAGGGATTTCTCGTTTAGTTTTCCTTCGAATATTGACCAAGATTAATTGAAGATTATTCCAGATCAGGAAAGAATCTCCTAAGAGAGAGTGAGAGATCTTAAGAGGAAGTCTTTGAGAAAATGAGGTTATGATTATTCGGAAATGATGCGGAATAAGGGGTTAGTCGGAAGGGAAGTTTAATAATATACATATTTATATAGGACTCAGAATCTGTTCAGCGTGGTAGGTATGGTTCACCGTGCACCTTTATCCGGAGAATTATCCGGTGCGTTATTACAATGCTCAACAATATGTCCTTCCACAATAATTTAATAACGCTAAGACAACCACGATTTGGTTCCTAAAGGCCCGTTTTTACGATTGAATCATCGACAGAGCTAATATGAATATAATTCTTTTAGAAATCTTAAATTTATCGGACGAGAGATACGTGAAAGATTTGAAAAATTTTATACAGGTATTTCTCTTAAAATGCGACTTGAAAATGAAGAAAAATGGAAAACTTTTAAAATTATGTTTAGTAAGTCATCGTGTATATCCCTCGCGATCTTTAACCCGTATATATTTAGGACACCTCGTCCCGTGACGGATTCAATATTTTTATAACAATTTCGATAACTCCCTCTCGGCAACTACCGGCGAAATAATGGATGGCCCGATTGATAACTACGTCACGACGATAATTATATCCGTAGGCTGCATAATTATCAGAAAACTATAATGAATTCATCCGCCCTCGCGAGCAACGTATATTTCGCGAATATTCAACGCGGGGCGGGACTTTTATAATCGCGCGTTCCCGACGTCGAAAATTCGCGCGAAAAAAGGATGGATCGCCGGGACGGAACAACACGCCAATTTGAATCCAGAATACCTCCATCAAGTTGCAAATGGACCGGCGCTTGATCACAGATTGGAAATCGCCCCGGGAACCTGTATGACTGTGCGAAATGCGTGCCGCGAGCAGAAAGCGGCGTGCATTTAGTGACATACTGGGTGTCGAAGAGATGCGTCACAATCGATCGACGTGAAAATGACATTGCCGAAAAATTGCGCGCCACTCCGGGCTGAGGGAGTTGCGTGGAAAACACCGGCGAGAATTTTTCTCGCACAACCATCTCGCGCTTTACGGCGCTTCACGGTGCATGAAAACTGCCGGAGGAGCCCAAACAGCGCTGAATTTCGGCGAAATAATTTTCACCATTTCACACGGATTTCGCATTTGATAACCCGCGAAAGCGGATAAGGTGACTCTTCGCGTGATGAAACCGCGTAGATTCGACCACGAATGCGTTATCTATCATAAGAGGAGTATAATTTACACCTCACTCGCGCTGAATTCTCTCAAAGAGACGAGAGAGAAAGTCAGCTCGCGCGAGGACGCGATATGTTTATAATTCGAAACGGCGTGTTTCATTTTCAATAGTTAAACGACGCATCCCTGACCGAAAAAGAATGGAGGTGGCGCATGTATTCCCGATAACCCTCCCGGAACGAGCGCAATCGATGTCATTTTGTGGCTGATAACTTCGCTCATCGAATGTCCGTTGGATGGCTTTAAATAACGGCGCGACGTCTGACGGGATTACGGGAATTCGTTTCTGTCGTTACCAGCGGGAGAGATAGCGAATTTCGATTCGAACCGAAATGGTCGACCGGGTCGGCTGTGCGATAGATATATAGATAAATAGATTGAGCCTCGTCGGAGAGAGATCGGAGGATCGCGCTAAGCAACGGACGCGAAGAGAAAGGCGAGTTTAGGGAATTGAGTGGACTTACCGGTCTCGAGATGACCGTTATCACTGATAGAAGACTGCTCTCCCCCC